ATTTCAAACTTTTTCTGAACCAAAACCGCCATCTTAGATTTTGAAAATGGCGTCAAACATCGGTTTCTGACCTCTAGACGTTACTGGGATTTCGAAAATACCCATATTGATGGGTATTTGACAGTATTTTCCACTTTTTCTGATACCATAAGTCACCATCTTGGATTTCAAGACATCGATTTTCGGCATCTACTTGGCATCCCCGTTGAGAAAATATCCATATTTTAAAGTATTTTGGTCTTATTACGGGTGTCACTACACGGTGATACTCAGAATAAGAGCCGTGATTGCCGTACAAATCAAATGGGAATCACTACACCGTGACGACAAGTGACAAGTTTTCACCGTGAAGTGGCATCCGTAATAAGCCCCTTTGACACTTTTCCTCAAATTGAAAGCTTCTAGCACCATCATAGATTTCCAAATGGAATCGGACATCGATTTTCATTCTCTAGACGTCATCCTGATTCCAAAAATACCCTTTATTGATGGGTCGGCATAGCTATTTCCCACTTTTTCTGAATTCGGAAGCCGCCATCTTGGATTTAAAAATGGCGTCGAATATGGATTTTATTTCTCTAGACGTTATTCCGATTCCAAAAATACCTACATTGATGGGTATTCGACAGTATTTCGCATTTTTATTGAACTGGAAGCCGTCATCTCGAATTTCAAAAGAGCGTCGGTGATCGATTTCCATCCTCTAGATGTCATCCCGATTCCAAAAATACCCACATTGATCTGTATTTGACAGCATTTCACACTTTTTCTGAACCAAAACCGCCATCTTAGATTTTAAAATGGCGTCAAGCATCGGTTTCTGGCCTCTAGACGTTACTACGATTTCGAAAATATGAGTATTTGATAGTATTTTCCACTTTTCTGATACCATAAGTCGCCATCTTGGATTTCAAGACATCGAATTTCGGCATCTACTTGGCATCCGCGTTGCGAAAATATCCATATTTTAGAGTATTTGACACTTTTCCTCAAATTGAAAGCCGCCATCTTGGATTTAAAAAATGGCGTTGGATATCGATTTCCAGCTTCTATACGTTATCCCGATTCATAAAAAAATAAACCGTATGTATGGGTATTTGGTAAAATTTCCCACTTTTTTTTTAAAACGGCATCCGCCATCGTGGATTTCAAAATGGAATCGGACATCGATTTTAATTCTCTAGACGTCATCCTAATTCTAAAAATATCCTTTATTGATCGGTCGGCATAACTATTTCCCACTTTTTCTGAATTCGTGACCCGCCATCTTGGATATAAAAATGGCGTTGAATATAGATTTTAAATCTCGGTATATGGATCGGTATTGGACAGTATTTCGCACTTTTCTTCAACTGGAAGCCGCTATCTTGGATTTCAAAATAGCGTCGGTGATCGATTTCCATCGTTTAGATGTCTTAGGAGATAAACTAGCCAACGGATAAAAATCTCTCCAATAAAGCAAAAAAAAAACTTTTAGGGATCGTCCATCAATTATGTCACACTTTTAGGGGGAGGGGGGTTTTGGAAACTGTGACGAGTCATAGAAAAAAAAATTAAGATCCATACAAAAAATGTGACAAAGGGGGGAGGGAGGTTTGAAAATGTGCCAAATTTGCGTGGACTTAATGGACCATCCCTTGTATGTCATCCTGATTCCAAAAATACCTATATTGGTGGGTATTTGACAGTATTTCCCACATTTTCTTGAACCGAAAGCTACCATCTAGGATTTCAAAATGGCGTCGCATATCTATTTCTAATCTTTAGACGTCGTCCCGATTCAAAAAATACCTATAATGGGTATTTCACAGTATTCCCCACTTTTTTTTTAAACTGGAAGCCACCATATTGGATTTTAAAATGGCGTCGCATATGGCGTATTTCCCACTTTTTCTGAAATCGGAAGCAGCCATCTTGAATTCTAAAATGGCGTCGATCATCGATTTCCGGCCTCTAGACGTCACCCCGATTAAAAAAATACCCATATTGATGGGTAAACAAACCACAGATATATGCGCATGCGCTTAAATGGACCGAGTGAACAACCAACAATAATCAGAAAAACTCGTGGGGGGCGACACATCTAAATCTCAAGTTTAGATGCTCAACAAATCTCACACTATCGAATAAAGCTTCGAAAAATCTTCTTTCATTTGTTGCATCTACTTGCATCGCTCATCATCTTTTTGCAGGAAATCTTCAGAATCGTCATCAATCTTCTTTCTATCTACTCAGTGTGCGCGCAGATAACCACTGCAAAACACAATCTTTTTTGCATCGTAGATAGAGTCGCCCCCTCGGAAAAACTGCACGATCATCATTCGCTTTTAGATATTCTTACGAGCCTTCTTCCTCTGCATGCTGCATGTCGTCACAGCTGGTGAATCTTTCAAACTCTTCATCAGAAACTGCTGGCTTCTTCGGCGTATCTTCTTTGGTGATCGTAATCGCCGCCGACAGCGCCACTGGCGGTCAACTAATCGTCAGGATACTCGAACGATTGCCACCTCCATGCTGATTGGCGAATCGAAGACGTCAAGACCAACAATTGAAATGGCCTCAACTCCATTTTGTAAACAAACGTTGTAAGGCCATTTTCTCGTAAACCAAAGTCTACATTCGCGAACCGAAACCACAACCGGGTACAGGAGAATTCCCCTTACCTGTTCATTCTGTTGGTTTCCCTTGGCGGACTTCGGTTCGCGAGAAAATGGTTGTAAGGCCATTTGTTTACAAAATGGAGTTAAGGCCTTTTCAATTGTTGGTCTTGACGTGATATCCGTTTTTGGCGTACTCAACGAATACTCCCTTCTAGGATGTATCATCGAGCTTCCGCCGGCAGCAAACTCAAACATCGAATTATCAGGCTTGCCTCCACTTCATAATTCAAACGGTGTTTTCTTTCGCTCCGCTGCCGTCGTCGGATCCCGATTTGACAGGTAAGCAGCGCTTCGTTCCTAAATCCCTTGCAGATTTCAGAGTGAACGAGTATCGAGCTAGACTTTTCTCCCAAGGTACGGTTCATGCGCTCGCTAATCCCGTTTTGCTCCGGCGTGTAGGGTACGGTGTACTCCACTTGGATCTTACGGCAAAACTCGTCGCTGTTGTTGGCCGTGTACTCCTCGAAGCACTGTAGCATTTCGACTTTCGTTTCGATAGGGTGCACTTTCTCAAAGCGATTCCAGTCACCAATAAAACATTCGAAGTACCTTGCTCCATGATGGCGTCACTGGCCAACACAACTGTGTACACCAACTCGAGAACTTGTGACGATCGTTTGCTGACCCTCGACGCACGGTTCACAAATAACGACATCCGAGTCTTGTTCATTCCGGTTTCAACGAGGAACAACAAGTTTTTCTGGCTCAGATAGTCGATGCCATAAGTCGTCACACTTACTTACGAACTTCGCCATACAAATTTAGCGACGACGCATTCGCCGCCTTACCGATCGCAACCACCTCCGAGCCGTTCCGATTCTTTGGAAAACTATCAAAATTTCCGCACTTTCAACCTTTCTTACTGAAAATAGATTGCATCTTGCTTCGGGTACAAAGAGCATGTCCTTCCCCTCGTACTCAATCCAATTCAAATACAAATACAAAGTCCAATTCTTACCGACGATCGAGTTCACAACGATAGTTCCCCGGCAATCTCCATCGGCCACTTCGACCGATGAAACTTCAAGAAAAGGTGTTTACAATGTGTTCGGACGTGTCCGAATCCACGAACCACTGGATCTTATTGATTGCGCACGGTTTGTTGACACTGACGAAGCATACGTCCTTGCTTTCTTCCGAGAAATGAGCGGTAGGCTTTGATTTCTTTTTCTCCTTCTCAGGGCACTCTGACCCTTTTTGGTCAACCTTTTGGCAGTTAAAACACTTGAATTCCTTCTGCTGTTACGGGGACTTTCCGTTAGAGCTTCTGTCGAACGGCGCTGATTCCTGCTTCGGCACAGCAGCCGCCATTTCACGATCTTCCTCCAGACTCAAGAGCAATTTACAGACAGCATCGACGTCTTCCATCAGCGCTTAAATTCCGCGCAACTGCCGGACGAGCAATTTGTTCATCAGAAAATCTCGCCAGATTGGTCCGCATGCTCCTTCAACAGTGCGAAATAAACGATCAAACTGACGTTTGTCAGAAATCAAGCAGACCCAATCTTGATACCCGATCCAGATTGAAACTGAATTATAAACGATTTCGCTATTAGATGCATCATTTTTGCAAAACTTTTACGCTAGAAAACACGAGAAACTTCAGATGGCCTTCAGAGTGTCGTGCCCCTGCACATTCTCGATCTGCCTGTCACTTATCCGGGAGACGATAAAGGATTTACATTTTCGTACCCTTTTCTTCGTCTTTTCCAACTCCTTCTCCTTGCGTTCCTTTTCCTGTTCCGTGTCCTCCGCCTTGGTGACCAACTCGTCCTGTTCGCCGTATAATATAAAAACGGGTTCTGACAATAAGGTCGAATAGTGAAATTGCTTCCTCATAACAAAGACAGATACGATTTCGCTACAATCGACCGATCAAAGGTAAAACCTCCAAACAAATTTCTAGACCAACAATTTATTGAAATAGGCGGAACAACCAAACGTTAACAATGACTTTAATTACGCAAATTCCTCAAGAATCAAAGCTCATCCAAGCAATCAAAGCACCGTCATCTGATAGAGCAAACTTCCTTTATCGAATGGCAGTGTTAGTTTGCATGGGAGTGTTTTGATTCTCGAGAATGTTGTGTTTAAAGTTATTGTTTACGTTTGGTTGTTCCGCCTATTTCAATTGTTGGTCTAGATTTGATGGCAATAATAGCTTTGTTTAATGACGCAGTTCGCACGCGGTCGAAGTTGCCCGGACTTTTCTGTCACCTCACCTCACTCGCCGCGCAGAATGGGCCTGAATAACTGGCAAACGTACCTCGAGCGACTATGAGTTGATGAATGAACACCCGTTTGATCAGATTTGCGATTTTCGTTGCAGTTTCGTTCGTATGCACCAAAATGCCTATGATAAATTCCTTTCTTCTCTGAAATCCTCGTGGTAATTTGTCAAAATCTAGATCAAATTCAAATTCAACCTCATTGAACTTACTCGCTCTAAGGCTCTGAACCATTTTTTGTCGGATTTTTAACTTTTGGTTAAAATTTGACTGATAGAAAGTTATCGATTAACCCTGCTATCCGAGCGTGGCTATTTCTGACAGACAAGCATTTAAATTTTGACAACCGTGGCTGAGTTCTGCTCGAAAACCGATCGATCGGTAACACAGTGATTTTCGAACGTAAGAAATAACTTTCGAAATGTCACTTTTAACCACGAGTTAAGTTTAACTTCATGGTTAAAAGTGACATTTCAAGACCAACAATTGAAATGGCCTTAACTCCATTTTGTAAGCAAACCTTGTAAGGCAATTTTCTCGCGTACCGAAACCTTCATTCGCAAACCTAAACCACCTAAACGGGTAGAGGAGAATTTTCCCTACTTGTTCATTATGTTGGTTTACCTTTGCGGACTTCGGTTCGCGAGAAAATAGCCTTACAAGGTTTGTTTACTAAATGGAGTTAAGGCCATTTCAAATGTTGGTCTTGATTTCGAAAATCCCTGTGCTGTCGATCGACCGGTTTTCGAGAAGAACTCAGTCACAGTTGTCAAAATTTAACTTCTTGTCGGTCAGAAGTAACCACGCTCGGATAACAGGGTTAATCGATAACTTTCCATCTGTCAAATTATAACCAAAAGTTAAAATAATACACCAAATGGTTCAGAGCCTTAAAATAATCCACCAAATGGTTCAGAGCATAAATCAGTGTCAACATTTCAAAGGGGCGTAATTGTATTTGTAAACAATGGCTTTAGCCATCGATTTCTCGCGAATAAAAGCATACTCATGAAGATTAATGACACCAGCAGGCAGAAGAATGTTTCCTTAACCAGCTAGCATTGTTAATTTGAAGGGATGGGCTTTTATTTGCGAGAAATCGATAGCTCAAGCCATTGTTCACAAAAGTAATTACGCCCCTTTGAAATGTTGGCACTGAAATAGTGCGAGTTGTTCCAAGCACAAGCAACTCGACGTAGGTTCGGTCGGTTGAATAAACGCCAAAAAAAAGATCGCAAGTTGCTGCGATCTGTTTCGACCTCTCAAAGTTGATGGATTCTAGCAAAGTTTTCTTAATATCTAGATAGAGCTGGAATTAGAGCATAACAGCTTTTGCAAACAATGACTTCTCTCGATGATCTCTAGAAAGCCAAGGCTCGCTCACTCAAATCAACGTCACCATCTGAAAGGGGAAGACTTCCCCTTGCGGTTGGTTATGTTAGTTTGCGAAAGCGTGCCTTGACTTTCGAGAAATCATCGAGAGAAGTTTACAAAAGCTGTTACGCCCTAATTCCAGCTCTATCAAGATATGTTGGGCCTTATTACGGGTATCACTACACGATGATAAGGAAGTGATACTCAGAATAAGAGCCGTGATTGCCGTACAAATCAAATGGGAGTCACTTCACCGTGAAGACAAGTGACAAGTTTTCACCGTAAAGTGACATCCGTAATAAGCCCCGTTGTCTATGGTTATGGTCTAGGTTTCGAGGCGCGTTCTACGAGCCATTGATAGCAAGGACTGCTCGAGTATTGGACCTCTGACCTACAGTATAGCCGTTTAACCGATGATCCAACCTCTCGATTAACGGTTGGGTTCTACGAAAGTACAATCCTGACCATGGAATGCGCTCAAGGAGACTTTTCAAGAGTCCATCTGCTGTGATCTGTCCATCTGCTGAGTCAGCCGATCGGTTCATCTGCTGATACACTTTCGAAGCCGTTGTTGGGGTCAATATGGTTGTGTTTGGAGTTACAATCAGGAACATTTGGAGGGTATTCATTGAAGATTAGTATGGCTGCGTACGCGCTCATCAAATTGTGATAACATTTATCGGACGGCGCCGGTGGTTGAGTAGTACGCATACCTGCCTCGCTCCCCAGTGGGCCTGCGTTCAATCCCAGCCGTGGTCCTTTGGAAGTGATGTAAAGCAATTGCTGGGTTCCACTGTAGGATCATCTCCCTGGCGTCGGTGATTGGCACTCGTATGCAGAACAGAGATCGACAGAAAATAATAGAAATAAGATCTATTTGTATCACTCCTCGTCAATCGATAGATTGCGATGTCCGTTTTCGATAGATCAGAGAACAGATTTCCCGCATCTAATGTTAACCCACAATCTTTTACAAATCTGACGCTTTTTGTGGCTATGTCAATGTGTTGTGCTTCAACTTCAAATTTTCAAGCAATTAAACTTATGAACTTCTATTGAATTATGGAATTCTTAGGAAGATCGCTTTAAAAAAACCTACCAGTATGAAGTATAAGAAGAGGGAAAGACCCCCCTAACAAAGCCAGAAAATTCCGTGATAAAATAACCAAATCATGTTCGAAGCCTTGCTTCTTAGTCTGACATTTTACGGCAAAAACATGCTTTTTTTCTGTAGATGGTTAACCAAAGAGCTTGAAGTAGTCAACTTAGAATGCTTAGATTTAGTGTCGTTTCACCGTTTGATTCTATTGATACTTGCAAGGGTCCAAACCCAGTTGTTTTGGTTTCCTTTCCAGCATTTTTCGCTGCATTATTTACTATTTCATTTTATCTAACTATTGACGCTATCGACTGTCGGGTGCCGCATCATTATTACCGCACATTTTCTTCCTATATTAGGTAACCGAAATGATTTCCCATGACTAGTAATGTGCCCGTCACCCATATCGGTAGTAACATTTGTGCGTCAAACTCCCGTCAGCCGGATCATTTCCTCTTTTTCTGTTGCTTATTTTTGATAGCGCAGTTGTCATCTTCCTAATTATACCTATTATACAAAGCCAAACAGAACTATCAACAGAACAAAACAAAAATCGGATCACACTTCATGTTTGTTCCGGAAATACACAACAACAACGATTATGTGTTTTGGTTGCTTTCGTCAATACAAGTGTGATAATTTTACACGAACAGCAAATGCGTTAACAGATAGTAGGTAGCAAAAGCTAACTAAAAAAAAAGAAACAAAATCAACAACGGAAAAACAAAAACAATAACAACGAAATTTGACTACTCCTCCGACAATTGGCTAGTTTGTTTTCTCTTTAGAAAAGCTGAAATCATTCTGGATTTCATTTCCTTTGCCTACTTTGCTTTACTTACACTGTTTTGCATTTTACCTTTCTTATATGTTTTCTCTTCATGGATAAAAATAGTAGCTTATTTATAAAAACACCCACTTATCTTCACTTTCTGATCTGATCTGTTCGAATACAAAAGCGCGATGATATTTCGTATGTTTTGTTTCTTTATTTGAAATGTTTCAATACATTTTGTTGTCGTTTCCTTATTGATTTGAAAGTGACGCTTATATGATTTACCTATGCTTTGGGTTGGTATGTGTGTATTTTTTTTCTGTGTGTGTGTGTGTCTACAAAAATAGCTATCACAAAAAATGATTTGTATGAAAATCTGATGTCTTCTTTCTTATTCGGTTTACCTTTGTCGCATTGTTTCCTTCCATAGGAAAATTAGTATTAGGGTTTACTATTTACACATCAATTTACCTCGTCTCGCGTAAGAATGTGAATGATATTTATTTTCCTTCTTGAGGATGCAATTACAAATATCGTACCTACTAAATTTATTATTAACTCTACACTACTGCAGCGAATCTCGATCCGTCAAGTTATCTCAGAACGAGAAACGCTGCACTAATGGATTTTCCTCACTGATTTTTGCTAGCAATAGCTGTACATATTTGTAATATATACTCATCTAACTCGATTTCATACAAAAAGTTAACGAAAAAACGCGTTTCAATATAAAAAGTGAACGAATTATAAACAGTACTTCACTATTTCTTTGTAACTCAATAAATTCTGTTTCACCCTCTACGGTTTTCTACAGAAAATATATAACTTCCAAGAGGGTAAGAAAAGTTTATTATCGCATTCTGTTTTGTGGCTTACTAGGTCCTAGGTTAATATAAAGTTTTTACTCCCCCGCTCTGATCGTTTTCAACTACTATAATACTTCAAGTTTTCTTTGTATTTTAATCTACTCCTTATTCGGTGAAAATCGTTTCTTACAAAAACGTACAGTTTTTGCTATCTGCTTCTATCCTATAGTTATGACCTACATCTGGAGTAGAAAAAACGCATATTTCTAGTGGATTACATAAAAAAAAGTCGTTTTGTCGTCTTTTTCCGCTTAGTTCCCGATCGTGCCACTGGTGGCGATCGAGAGTGATGACGAATGCTGCTGTTGCTGTTGATGCTGCTGCTGCTGCTGCTGGTGGTGCTGTTGCATCTTCCGTTGATGCTGTTTCAGTATGTCTTCCTGTTGCTTTTTGCTAAAACTAACTGAACCCGCGCTAGCGAGTGCCTGATCAATCGAACTACTGCAGCGCATCGAGGAAGGACTGCTACTGCCGCTGCTAGAGATGAGCCCGGAACCATTACTGCTTCCCCCACTGCTGCCGCCACCGCTATAACGCGTTGGCGGTGGTGCTAGAAATCCCCCCGAAGTCGGAACTCGACTCAGGTGATGCTGCTGTTGCTGTTGCCTTGGTTTGGTGGAACCAATTCCGAGGCCACTGATTGCGGAGCTGCCGCTGTTGCCGCTATTGGTCCAGGGAAACGATGGTGGGGGAGGTACATAGCTGGATGACCCTGGTTGACCAAAGCCGTGAAAGGCATTTGCTGCAGAGGCACCGAGGGAATTGCTGCCGCCGCTGCCGCTGTTGCTGCCAACAACTGACTGATGGTGATGTGGGGGTTGCTGCTGCTGGTGGTGGTGTTGTTGCTGTTGGTGGTGATGGCTCGATCTCGTCGACGTCGCGTTCGCGAAAGCAGATGATGCTGTCCTTCCCGCTGCAGTCGATATTGATCGTGGTGGCTGGCGTTAACACCAGCGAAAGGGCACTGCCCGGGGCCGGTCTGCACCCTCCTTAACGAGGGGCTTGTGGTACTCGCGGCCGGAGCGCGAGTGGATGTGAGCCCAACAGTGCTCGCAGTAATACTGTGGTTCGGAAAATTTAAATATTAATTAAAGCCACACGAAAAAGTCGCAGCCGGCATGCTGCTACTTACCTGTAGACAGGTAACGTTGGCGCAGAAGAACGGTGCGAACTTGCCACCGCAGCGCTGACCCTGGCACTCATCGCACATCTGATCGTCCAGGACGTACGGCTTAACCTCGACGCGCTTATCGATGTCCCCATGCTGGAGCTGCACGAAGCGGGCAGAGATGGCTGCGATGTAGCTTTGCTGATTGGAGAATGCTACGCGACCGGCACCCTGGAAATCGGTCGGAAATGGAAAATATTTCTTTTAGCCGCTGAGCTCCGTCCTACGTGCCTTGCAGAAAGGTTAACTTACCTTCGGGTACTTCAATTCAGGATCGGTATCGATTCCAGCGTAGCATACACCTCCGTACAGGCGGTCCATGATCATGGCAAGTTCATCTGGAACGATACGATAGGAGGTACGGATTAGTGCCCAGAGTTGTTTGACCGAGCGTCGATGAAATCAATACCCAACGTGTGAGACCTAATCTGTCGCTCACCACAAGTCGGTCTCATATGCGTTTTTGTCAAAATTGAGCTTTTCAATACAAACTTGCCATGAGCGGCAGTAATTCTTATGCATTAAAACCCGATGAATCGAATGGCCGCTGCTGGGTTTGTATTGAGCAGTCAACCAGATGTACCTCATTTTGCGGCAGTCAGTCCCGAGAGAAAATATTCAGGTAATTCCGAGCAACCTGAATCTCAATAGGACTAATAAGACCCAAACTGAAATTATTGGAACTCTCGAGTTGCTTAGCAAGTTTCTGAGATTTTTCCGATTTGTGATAAAAAATTGAGGTTTTTTTCAAAATGGTGGTGAGCTTCCAAAAGGGAACTCGGGTCTAATTTCGAAACATTATTTTCAAAAGTTGTGTTCCTCAGGGCAGTTAATCGCTTTTTAATTTGTTTTGCAAATGCCGCCAGATAATTTTCATGGTAGGATCGCGTATTCTTTGATATTGCCGTCTACGGACATAGAGCTGAAGATCGTCGTCGGTGTGGATTTCACGATTTCCGCGGTTTTGTAGCGGATTTGAACTTTCAGTTGCGAAAATCGCGGAAACATTTGAAGGTGACGCAAAAATCACAAAGGGACTGATGTGCTACGAATACGGAATACGATTTTCTATTTATCGTGTTTGATGATGTACATAGCAGTGATGCCAGTTAATGTTTGAAGTCTTCCAGTTTTTTTTTTTTTTAGAACTCCCTCCCCTTGGCTAGTTTTTGCACCTTGCTGTTGGTGGGTGGGCTTAATTTCATGCTTTATAGTGGAGTGTTGGAGACGGTATGTTTGGGGCCGGCGTTGCTGGCTCATGCCGCGATAGAATGGCGCCATGGGCAGGCAATGGGGATTACTAAGCTTCCCCTCTCTGATAAACCACTGCATGAGAGAACCAAAGATCTAGTCTAGCAGTGATAGTATCACACTTGTTACTCCTTTGATTGAGTGCCGCGTCGTAGTACGCTTACGTATACTGCCGATACTCGCATAATTGTCCCATCTTTGCTTGATTTCCTATTCATATGGGACAGTTTTGCTTTTACGGACAGTATAGGCACTGACGTTGGGTGTGATACTGGCGGGTTTTGCCGCAAATCACTCTTATTTAATTTTTATTTTTTACGCAGATAGATTTATTTGGGTTTGCAAGGGAATTATACTATTGAAATATTTCAGAAAGTGCCCAACGGTGCTGCTTCTATTTGCGTGACAAGCTTTCGTTGTTGTTTTCATTGAAGTATTACTCAGGAAACAATGTTAAACATCATTTTTGTACATGGTATTGTAACTAATCTTATATGTGCTTCATTTTGATTTGGGATAAGTGTTTAACTATGACTCGGGATTTCCACTGTGGTGTGCTTCTATTGTGACATACCCATATGTATTTTTGTGGCGCGACATAGTGGAAGCGTGAGAGCGTAATTGGAACATTTACCCTATACAATATACAATTTAAAATTAGCTTGGAAACTTACTTCAAAGTGAAGCATTTTAGTCACTTGAAGGTGTCACCTGGGACGAACAAAGATATAATTAATATATGTCAAAGCCAGAAGTACTTGAAACACGTTAAATTTAAGTTAAAAAGCATGGGTTATGATTGTGTAGGTAAATTAAAGATTTCAGTTATTTATTAAATAAACTTCAATTAAAAAATTCAGAAAGTTAATTAACATAAGAGATAGGACGCGGGGGGTCCGCTTAGGGAGGCGATTAGCCTTTGAAGTTGTATAATAAATCTTCCTATTTAGTGTATTTGTTAATTACAGACAATGTCAATAGCGAAAGTCATATCTTCAACCAGGCGCTTACGAACAAGTGAAGTTTTAGGAAAGATGTTTTAAATATGTTGATAGGTTTGAAATAAGAATTAGGATTGTTGTGCTTTAGTTTCGGTAAGCTATGATGCGTCAACAAAACCCTTTTGAGCAAATTTTCAAACATCAAATTGATTGAGTGATTTATTGAAAGACATTGCGTTGCGAAAATTGACAAGTCATACATCTAACATAGTAGTAGTAGTAGCAGTGTCGCATAATCTTATCACAATTGCTGCAAATAGTGCTGGAGGGGCCGACAGGGCTGAATACGGATCAAAACTAACATAACTACTAACACTAAAATGATCCCGGAACTAACACTTGTCCATTGCACTTATCTATGCTTCTTTCTAGTGTTTGAATCAAGTACAACTAATACTAATCTACCTTTATGTATGTTTTACTCCCTTTTAACCTATTATCTTTATGAATGGTGAATCATGACGTGAGACACGGTGATTTCAATTGACTAAGGAGAAGGAAAAGAATAACTTCGAACAGGATATCAAACAAATTCAGGACCAATCCAAATGAGACCAGAAACCAACGAGGCATCGGGGCGTTATATACTCGAAGAGGTATTTGATAAATAATCAAAAAAGTGGTAAGTTAAAATCATAGTGGAGCCAAGGATCATTAGAGGTAATTGTCAATAATTCATTAATTAGTAGAAATCTCGATAACTTTTTCAAGGGAGCGTATCGGCTTTTGTAGGCGGCTCGTCCACGCATGCTAGCACTATCATCAGATAGGGAAATTTTCCTCTACCTGCTAGTGGTGTTGGTAGGCGTGTGCGAGCTGCCGGTTGCGCCGGGTCGACGATCGGATGCATTGTTTGCAGGAGCTGGTGGTTCTCTTTGAAAAAGTAATCGAGAAACAACCATATTATCCTGTAACTTGTGTACACTTGTGTCATTGCAGAGTAAAATTTTAAATACTCAGTGGAAAATTCCAAATCAATTGTGAAGAGGATCCCAGGATCCGTGAAAAATACCAAGAAAATATACTTTTGAGCGTAAAATTCCAAAGAAATTTTGTTGAAGGCCATCACGAAATGAATTTCTAGAGAATTTTAAGGAATCTTCCAAATAAAATTGCAGAAGAATTTAGAGGAGAAGTCCAAAATAATTCTGAACAAAATTTCAAGACAATTCTGAAGTGAATTGTTTAGGAATTTAAATGAGAATTAACAAATGAAAATTAAATGAATTAATAGGAATTCAAATGAGAACGCGAATTTTGAGCAAAATTTTAGAAGAAATTTTCAGCGAATTCCTAGAAAAGATGAAACATTTGAAGATAATCTAAGGTCGATTTTCATGGTTTTTACTTTTGATGAATCTGCAGAGAATTTCTAGACTGTCATAAATAATTTTTTTTATGGACTCTCAGAGAGAATCTCCATCTTATTTTAGCAGAATTCTGAAATAAACGATGAGAAAAGATTCAAAAGGAAATGTTTGAGAATATTCTAATAAAATCTTGTATAGTTTTTTGCGCTTCAGGGAAGTTAAACTATAGACAAATTATGAAGAATTCGAACACAGGTCCGAATTCGTCTCAGGAAAAATGCTGCTGTCTTAGTAATGACCAATTTTGACTTTTGATTTTTTGGGTTTATGCTTAATTTTAGTCTATATTGCACAACCGGAAACATTTCCAAATTTACGGTCATCTTTGGTTTGCAAAGGAATATTTGGATCGAAACTATATTCCATGAACAATATTGCTCGCAATCAGCTCTATGGTAATTGAAAGTAGAGCTGTTGAGATTAGACATTTCTTGGGATATTTCAAAAGCTACTGGAAAGTGATCAGAACCGAAGTCAGCATGGGTAACCAATTGGCTACAAAGTTGACATGGATCAGTTAAGACCAAAAAAATAGTTGAAGGATTTTTTGCTGCAGAAAACATGTAGGGCTGTTTGGACATTGAACAGTGTAATAACGTACAGAACAATCATCAAACAGAATATTACCATTGGAATTGATTTGAGCATTATTCCATGAGCGGTGTTTTCCATTAAAATAACCAATAAAGAAGAATTTAGACATATGACGGGTTTGTTTCTTAGCGTCACCCTTGAGAAAATTCTTTTGCTGGCCTACACATTAGAATGGCCAATGGGCAACTATAAAAGTCAATTGTCCAAATTTTGCTTCAACAGAAACTCCCAAAATTTCAAAAACTTTGGTTTCTAACGAAGAAAGAATTTGATGTTTGATACGTATAACAATGATGGCAACCCTAATAAAATTGTTATGGTTATTTTGCTTAACGACGTGTTCTGGGTATCTTCCAAACCATTAGTGGAAAAGTTCAATTATTTGGGTTATCGTTCGTTTATGGTTATTTTTTATTAGGGAACGCCACCACAGGCTCCATCAAGACGATCATTTCGATAAATGAAATAATGTGCGTTCCTTTTAACCTTATGGACGGTCAGGTTAGAGGAACGTTTCAGTCTAAGAGAAGAGGAGAAAACGAACCACTTTTCTGTCAAACGCGACCCAGAAGTTAAAAATGAACGAAGGACCATTAATGCGACAGTGCAAGTCAAACGAACACTCTTTGCCTAACCCGAACGATGTACGCGGTGATTTGAAGTATGTGTTCAAATCTACAGGCAAAAAGTGTGCGACTGACTTTGCTCAAATACTGCATGCGATTGTGGAATAGTTCTAGCAACGTTTCATCACTACTGTTGCATTAATGGCCCTTCGCTCATTTTCAACTTCTATTTAATTTTCATACTGCCGTACTCTAACGGAACTATCTATCCGAGCAAAGTTAGAGATCAAATTGAAATCAGAATTTGCTGTTATGATGTAACTTATTTTGAATACTCCATTTGATCTCATTTTGGTTGACTTAACCAAAAAATATAATAACACAGCAAAAATGAGAGCAAAATTTTACACTGTTGAATCAAACGGAAAACTAATTCTGCGTTCAATGAAATCAATTTGATTACTGATTTTGAATTCATAATGTTTGACTTAATACGGGCCTGTCGTAAATGGTTAGCATCCATGCTTCTCACGCTGAAAGATTTGAGCTCAAATGT